ATGTAATAATAAATAATACATTGCAGCAAATATATTAAAAATGTCGTCCATTGCATTTATAACTATTATTAAAAATTAGAATTATAAATATCATATCACTATATATTTTTTTGTACAGATTTCAAATGTATAAATTAATATTTGAAAACATGTTTATATATATAAAATATATAGTATAGATTCACTATTCATCTAGGTACCTAGGACTATTTTTTAGAATTGATTTGCTGTTATAAATAAAAAGTTTTTTATTAAGAGTTTTAGTAGACTGTAGACTTGAGTCTATAAATTTTAAAATAGTATGGTGAGTAGCATGTATGATGGTTAACTTAATTTTCAAAGAATATGAAATTTTCTTCAATTCATTATTATGTAATATACTGCAGTTAGACTTAATAATCATCACTGCAACTATCGCCCAAATATCCAAATACCACCCACTATAGTGTTGTACATTCCATATGGCTCTGTCTAATTTATAAATTACGATCGCGCCGTACTGTCACAATCTTTACGATGTTTATGATATACTTTTAATTTTTATTATATTGTATACAATTGTATGTACGAGTATAATATGCTACACGCGTCTTTCAACGCGTCTTGAATTCTGTTATATAATGAGTAATAATACTAATGAGTAATAACATAATGATTCATTAATGACCAAAGGCGACAAAAAAATCGACCTTTCGTTAAGTCTTCATAAAAAACGACCAAAATAGATTTTATTTTTATTTATTCATTCATTGATGATATTGCAGCCTGTGAAATTACGGGCAATTTATTGTTTATGATAAACTGCAGTTAACACTTATTGATTTATATTACCTATATAAGTACATATATAATATATATATGTGTGTGTGTTATAACTTATAACTATTGTAATTTTAAATTTATAATTACTGTTTAACCGTATACGGCCGCATTGCTACAGTAGCCAATAATTATATAACAATAATAACAATACGCAACATAATACACTAATTAAATAGCAATCAATACGGTAATTATATCAATTAAAACTAAATTATCGATTGTTAAAAAATAATAACAATGTATGTGTTTTAATCATATAATAGTCGTGTCTCGGGCACACGCATAATTCTATTATTTACGCACTGTACGCGTAGAAATTGTATATTATAGGTACGTGTTGTATAAACGCAAATATAAATTACAGATAACATGATAAAATATTACACCGCGGATGATGGACACTGTATAGACGACAATAATAATTATTCCCGCGTCATCGTTGGAAAAGGAAGTGGAAAAAAACCATTCGTCACAAAATCTGTCGTCTGGTTTTATTTACCTTGGACGTGTTCGGTGTAGTTGCGCTCGTACGCAGTGAGTCAGACTGTCAGGGTTTTATAAATATATATATTATTTTAGGTAGGTACATAAAAAGTAAAAACAGTTCGTCGTCAGCGGCGCGTAATCGTTAATATAATGTAATAACAATGTTATAATTTATTAATATTACCAGGTATCTATATTATTTTATTATACATAAAGAGTATAGATAAGGAGTCAGCAATTAAATTCTACGGCGGTCCAGATAACTAGAAAAAAAATGTCCCAAGACCAAATAAAATCTTAAAGTCTACACTGTTAGGCTGTATAGTGATGTACAGTCACAAAAATCCGATTTTTTTATTATTTTTAGAATCATTATTTATGATAAATACCTATATATATATGACGTGTCCGCCTGAGTAGAGATAAATTGACGATATGGTGATTCCTGTTAATATTTATGTACATTGTACATATGTATATTAGTCAGCCTATATAGAATATTATATAATTAAAAACGCGTAGGTGGCCGTAGGTCAACGTGCCGTATACAGTTCACACTATACATTCTACATATAGTAAATACGCCTTTTGCGTGAAATAAATATACTTTTTACATTAATTATTCACTATAAAATTACAATAAAAATAAAATATGTTTTTAAATTCATAATGCGTATTGATGTGTGTCTGGTTCAGCCAAGGAGGAAAGTAGTTTTTAGAAAACACAAATATATATGACATGTGATATTCTTCTCACTCGTTCGGGATATTGAGAATTTGAGATTTACACATTAAAATCGTTTTAGTCTTAATTTGCCTTACGCGTAAAAGGAGTTTAGCAGCGAACTACAGAGTAGGTATTTTCGACGAAATAGGGCAAGAAGGCTTTATAAATATTTCCGTTTTTGGGTTGGGTATATTGTAATCGATTTATATGTATAGATACAGATTATTGCGTTGGCTAAGAAATCGAAAGAATTATGATTAAACCTTGTGCAAGGATGATTTATTCAAATATTTGAACTTGAATTCAGTGGATGTGGGTGTTTTTCTTTCATTTACCAAATTATTGTTATAATTTATAATTATAACTATAATTATAATTGACTGCATCGTGATTAGTGAATTCAATTTTTTCGTATAGTTAAATGAAAATAATTGGATAAGTAAAATGTATCTATATAAATATTAAAATCTCATTATAATATTAATAATATTATTATAATTATATATTATTCATAGTTATAGACTTTTATAGGTAATTATGGTAATATAATTATTTATGAATACGTAAAATTATACAAAATTTGAACTTTCTTATAAATCATAAATAGGTATATTATGTTAACATAATAATATAAATTTGTTATGTTGAATATAATTTTATTCGGAGGACGACAATAACGTACACTGTTTTACAAGAGGACCGGACCTTGTTGATTCATTCGCATAAAATCGTGAATGTATGGTTTAGTTATGATAATCTGTACATTTGCTATATTACAAATTACAATATCTGTAGGTAATGGTGAATTTATGAGAAGTACAACTAGTACAAGAAAATCTATGAAATATATTTCTCCTCTTGGACTTTTTGCTTTTTTTACTAGAGTTTCTTTATTATACTTCCAGTATAGAAGGGATCTTCACACAGCATCATGCACTATCTTTTCGTGTACATTGATAAGAAATTTGTAGGAAGATTGATAACGTCAACACGTTTTAATGTATTATTTACAAGATGAATACCTACTATAATAGAGTATTATTTAATTTTTGTAGAAGTACATAGTAAAAAGAAAGAATTTAAATATTATACGTGGGTTACTCTCAAGTCTCAACCTCCCAATTGCGAACTAGGAGGTATGCGGTCTTGTTTTCTACAATAATAAATTGATAAATTATATTATTATGTATAATGGCTAGTAATATTGTTCGACAGTTCAGTGTCACAGCGACCCCCGGCCAACATGTTGAATCAGACCTGCAGACATCAGTGTTACTAATTATAATCTATAGTACCACGATTAATTAAGTAATTAACTAAATTAGTTTATCATGACTAGCAAAGTCTGGCCTATCCAGTCGGGTATTTCTCTTTAAAAATGATTAATTTTCATTGTTTAACGAAGTCAGTAATAAAAAAAAAGAAACACTGTAGGTTATATAATATATTATATAAAACTAAAACAACTATTAATAGGTATATTTATCAAATTATTTTTTTGAATTTCTAAAGAAATAATATTTATAAACAATCTAAGTTTCATACACAGCTTTGTTTTTCTCGCTATGCAAATATTCACGCACGCCACATTGTCACATTGAACAATACCTATATTATCATGTACTACACGATATCATCGACAGACGATAATACAATAATCAGAGAGCTTTGATTATTAACAGTATACGCTACACTCGCATAGTCGCATGCGGTGTCTCCGTCTTATATACAAACGCATAACATAACAAATTGTGCGATCTGAATAGGTAATTCAATATACTCAGTCAATCTGTCATGTTTAATATAACAGTGAATTTATCTATTATCAAATTTAAAATTTTAATAGTAAGAATATTATCTAGTGCACCTCGTCGATTTTTTTTTTCTATTTTTATTTTAATGTGAGTTATGAGCATTTTAAAATGTACATACAATTTAGATTTTTAAGACACTCGTAACTCATAAGTCATAAATTCATAACTCAATTTAAAAGAAAAATATAAAAAAAAGCCTATGAGGTTCACCAGGTAATATTCTTGATTTTAAATATGATAACAGATAAATTTGCTATTACATTAAACGTTCCTAAGCCTCTAAGGATTATTCAGAACGAACAATTTGCTGTGCTATGGCCTTTATAAGACGAATACACTCAGTGTTTATTTCAGGGGGTGTCCTGGGGGAGGGGTAATACCCCCCCCCCGGAAAAAATGTTTACTCCCTCTGGAAAATGTAAGACTTACTTCGTCAACTAAGAATAAAATAAAATAAATATTACGATAGAGGTTATAGATTGTATCGGAGACCATTACTCATTAATTAAGGACACTTCTTATGTGAACAAAAACTACAAAAATAATTGTGTTCCTATGCAATTTTTTTTTTTTTTTACTTCCCTCCATTATTTGATCTTATCTTATTGAATCTCATTGAAAATTTAAGTTACCCCTTCCCTCCACGACAAAAGGTCTGAAATAAATACTGGATACACTGCACGCGGGTGTGTAGCGTGCTCATAAGTCATAACTCATAAGGCTCTTTAATAATAACAATACAAACAATATAATCGAGTCAAAATATCACCACCGCGATCATTATTGTTATTATAATGTATCGCTTAAAGTCGTATCCGTTTATTTTATTTTTTTTTTCAATTAATCATATCGTGGTGGGCGCCAAGCAAACGGGCGGCAAAAAAAAAAACACACACACGCACAACACATTATACGTATATATATATATATATATATACGTATTATAATATAATTAACTTGGTCCGGACGACATTTCGGCCGCGACGTGATGGGTCGTCGGTGTCTTGTTGGGCGGCGGGCCGGGAAGGAGACGGGTCTCTGCCGCGACTACCATACGGCGTCTACCGACGGGTGGGAGCGCGCGTGGAGGTGTGGCGGCGGTGGATCGAGCGAGTAGCGACGAAGGCAGAGCGCAGTGCTGCTGCTCGCGCTGCTCAACCGTCTGCCGCAGTAGAATTGTGTTTATTTTAAGAAGTCGACGTCGTTTCCTATAAATGGTTATTTCGCTGGTCCATTGACAGTGGTAGTGTTGTGCTCGTGTTGCTGCGTGCGCCCGCTCTTTTGCACCTTTGTGCGCCGCACCGCCCCCTACCCACCGCACCGCCGCCCGCGTGACAGTCGCGTTTGTGCGTGTGTGTTATTGGCGCTCGCGCCCGATAGATAGGAAGCACCTCTACATCCCGTCGCGGCGTACGGAGTTTACGGTCCGGGTTTCGAATTTTTTTGTTTTTCTCCACTCGAATTTTCCGCCGCCAAAATGCCGGTGTTCCACACGAAAACCATCGAGAGCATATTGGAGCCCGTCGCCCAACAGGTAATTTTTAAATTCATCAACGCGCCTAGGTACTCCCCTGGCCCCCTCGATTTAAAGTTCCTACTCGGCGGCCGTGCGACGCGATTCTATTTAACACCTACCCATACCTATAGGTACCTGTGTATATTACCGTTATTGTATCACGTCTGACGCGTGTAGGCATGTGTAGGTAGAATGCGTGTAATAATATAGGCTCTGTTGAGATCGGGCTCGGGCCTTTAGGACGACCATCTGCTGCTGTCGCCGCCGTCGCTCTTTCTCAATGCCAACAACACTCCTCACATAATCGTTGTCCTACTATAATATATTTCGTTGTCGTGTACTCGGAATATAATCAAATGTAATTGTGTGTGTGTACGTGTGTGCTACACTTGTCACTTTCCTCGTCTGCGAGCTTGACCCAATTTATGATATTATATTGCAATAATGAAAAATTCTGTTTATACATACATATATATATATATATATATATAGGTACCTCTACTTCATTATTATTACTATTATTATTTTTTCCTTTTGATCTGTTCTCAAGGATTTTTCACATATGATATGTAATGGACCCGTGCCAATGTGCCTTCAATTAATGTTTCCATCATGTTCATATCATGTTTGTTTGAAATGTTTTACACGATGATTGATTTATATTGACCGATATATTAAATTATGCTCATTGGCTTTTGCTGTTGCAATAAATTGTTATTAGCTCTTTGATAATTGGACGTTGAATATTCGAGTTTCCTAGTTTGCCTGAGAAAATCTTCTAGTCATCCTTGATGAGATAGATTCTTTTTATTATGTCATTACATTTTTGTAAAGAGACAAGGTAAACAGTTTTATGCTTATGCGGTAGGTCAGCTGGTTAGATGATAACTATTATTCGATGATTATTTGGTATAGTTTAAAAAGTTATAAACATTTTATGTAGGATATTAATAATTAAACATATTATCGTTTAGAAAATAATTTATAACAATCAAAACTACATGGTTTTATGTTGAGGAATTTGTTTTATCTCTGTAATGTTGATAAAAACTATAAAAAATGCAATTTAATAATGCAGTAAAGTACAGTCAATGTTAATATCATTTTTTTTTATTCAGGTAGTTTTGATAAGAGCATGAGTCATGTGACATTGAAGTCACATAGATAAATTATGGGTACTTTACTTGCATACAATTCAAATTTCAAATACAGAATGCATTCATATGAATTCTTTTTTGGTATGATAAAAAATTATGAAAAAACAAATAGAATGAAAATCTTTTGAAATTGGAAATCATATTTATATGTTTACTTTGAGTGATTTAAATAAAATACCAAATGTATTTCTTAGTACTAATGATAACCAAGAATATCTATTCTTAACAGTTTTACATTGATAATTTTAATAAAAACTTAAATATTTACATTTTTGTATGTTATCTTTAAGATTCATTTTAAACTATTTTTTTCGTTAATATTAGAATATTTCTTTTATTTAAAATATAAATTAACAAATAATTTAGTATTTTATACAATTTATGGATTATTGGCAAGAATTCATTGCCATATGTTCATACTTATAATATTGTTAGTGCCTATTATGATAAATAAAATTCCTTTAATATTATTGATATTTCTCTTTTTAACTATTTAGGTATAATATTGATATATTAGGTATGATAATGAGAGAAATAGATAAATAAATAGATACCCAATAATAAAATTCATAAAATGGATTATTTTAACTACTTTCTATATTTATTATTTATATTATTTATAACAATAAGTTTAATGTAAATTGATCTGTTTAGCCACTAATATCATTAATATTTGAGAGGGGAGTTAGCACAAATAAATATTAAAAAATTGTCTTGGTGATTATTGTAACTTATTTATTATTTTTTTGAAACTTCAGAGTTTAATAAGTTTTTAAAGAGTTATTACATAATTTACATTTTTAAATTTTAAATACCTATCTACTTTATTATTTAACAATTAATTTCCTAAGTATGTATAATGTATTTATCATTAAAATATCTATTTTCATCAATAAAATTAAAAAAATAAAAATATATATTGGATATTATTATTCTAAAAACTTATCACAATTAATTAGTTATTTGTCATATTTTTATAATTTTTTATGAGCTTAAAATTATAATATTTGGTATAAACTACCCATGTAATACATTCAAATAGTCTAATTACTTTATCTATATCTACTGTAAGATATTTTTAGAAAATGTGATTCTTCTGGTATTATGTTTTTTAAAACAGGATGTATTTCAAACTCAAGTTTCTGATATATATTTATATTTTTTTGACTGAAAGGACTTAAGAGAGATGTACATTAAAATAATTTAGTTTACCCTTTAACTACTCTATTTTTATAACTGATGTGGTCTTACAGTTGAGACAAAACATAACTATTTTTAGAGAGAGTAGAACATGATACATATGGATTCCAAATGACTTTTTAACACTTAATAATTGTAAATAACTAGTTATTTATTACTCTCTACTAGTTTTACAGTATACTAACAGCTTATTACTTGAAAAGTGCATTGTATTTAATTGTATTATTTTAATTACCTATTTTGTAAACATTTTTTAAATATTATTAATATAATTTTATCTATTTGTTAAATTTATAGGTATCTAGATTGGTTATTTTACATGAAGACGCTGAAGATGGAAGTGCAATGCCAGATTTGGAAAAGCCGGTTCAAGCTGTTAGCCGTGCAGTTATGAACCTTATCAAAGTGGGGAAAGAAACTATAAACAGTAGTGATGATCCAATACTTAAACAAGATCTTCCTTCAGCCCTTTATCGAGTTGAAGGGGCATCCCGTTTACTTGAAGAAGCTTCAGCTATGCTAAAACAAGATCCCTATAGTGGGCCAGCTCGAAGAAAACTGATAGAAGGATCTAGAGGAATTTTGCAAGGAACATCATCTTTGTTGTTATGTTTTGATGAATCTGAAGTCAGAAAAATCATTAGAGAATGTAAAAAAGTTTTGGATTATTTAGCTGTAGCCGAAGTTATTGAAAGTATGGAAGACTTAGTGCAGTTTCTTAAGGATTTAAGTCCATGTCTAAGTAAAGTAGGTTAATTAATTAATTATTATTTTTTTTAAATAGGTTTAGATTATTTAAAATGTATTTTTTTATTTCTAGGTTTCTCGAGAAGTAGGTGCTCGTGAAAAAGAACTTACTCATCAAGTTCATCGTGATATACTTATTCGTTGTCTTGATCAAGTGAAGACGTTAGCTCCAATACTTATATGTAGCATGAAGATTTATATTCATATTCTTTCAGAAGGTAGTAAAATCAAAAAATAATTATAATGTGAAATACATTTTTATTATTTCCTTTATTATATTAACTAATGATTAATTTCAGGAGGTAAGGGTGCTGCTGAAGCAGCTGAGAATAGAGATTATCTCACTAGCCGAATGACTGGAGAGTTATTAGAAATAATAAGAGTATTACAGCTGACCACTTATGATGAAGATGAATGGGAAGCTGATAACATAACTGTAATGAGAAAAGCTCTTAATGTAATTGAAGGTAAAGTCCATACAGCCCACGATTGGTTACAAGTAAGTATTAAATTATACTATGGTATAATTAATATTTTAAATGAAATGGTTTTCTAGGAACCATTATCAATGCCTGGGGGTCTAGGTGAAAAGTCTATTCGCCATTTACTTGAACAAGCTCATTTAATATCAGAACGCTGTTCACCTAAAGTTCGAGAGCCAATACAGAAATTGTGTTCTGAAATCAACACCATGACTGATGCTCTTTGCGAACTAAGACATGACGGAAAAGGCGCTACTGCTCAAGCAGAAAGTTTATCTCGTAGCATTGACGAAAGAATTGGAGAGTTAGTGAAATTAGTTACACGAGCAGTTAATGACACAGAGAAAAGTGGAGTTACTGCTAAAGGACAGCAAGTGGCTCATACACTTGGCGGACAATTGGATCAAGCTAGACAATGGTTGTTACATCCAGAAAGAAATGATAATGGCTTGGGGCAAAGAGCCATTTCGTTGATAATTGATGAAGCACATAGGGTAAAACAGAAAAATTAATCTTACATTTTGTATATGTCATCTTTTTAATATTCATTATTCAATTATGGAATATTTTAGGTGGCTGATGGACTTCCTGGTGTTCAAAGAGCAGAAATATTAAATCTCTGTGATGAGGTTGATACCTTATCTCGACAATTAAATGATTTATGTCGTCGTGGTGAAGGTAACTCTCCTCAAGCGCAACAAATAGCCAGGTAGTCACAAATAGATTGTCTTTTTACTTTTTTAATTTTTTTGTATATAAAACTTATAACTGTAATGTTATGGTTTATAGAAAGTTATCTCATAAGTTAGATGAATTGAAAAAAATGATACAAGATGCAGTTGTCAGTCGTGTTGTTGAAGATTTTGTTGACATAAATACACCTTTAAAACAATTTACAGACGCAGTGCATGTACCAAAAGGTAAGAATACATAATACTATGTTAGTTTGATTATTTTATTTAACAAAAAGCAAATTTTATTTTTACTTTGATAGGAACTCCTGGTAGAGAGGCAAACTTTGCTGATCGAGCAACTAGATTATCTGACTGGTCAAAACGTGCAGGTCGAACTGGACGACTTGTGGCTGCAATTGGTAGTGGTGGAAAAAAGTTGTCTGAAGCTCTAAATCAAGCTGCCACACAGCTTGAATCTCTCGGACCTCAGTTGATAAATGGTGGACAAATCCGATCACAATACTCTGATAATAAAGTAGCTGGAGAGCATTTTGATAATTTGTGTTCTCAGTATGCTGATACAGCAACACACATAAGAAATCTTTGTGATGAGGCTACAGATTCAGCAACTTTTATTCGACTATCTGGTTAGTACAAAGTGCATAATTAATAGGTTTGACATTTTTGTTTCAGCTCTCTTTTATACTAATGTTTAATTACTTAATTTTTAATTGTAGAGGACCAAATGCGTAAACATGCAAAACTGTGTGAGGATGCTATTGCCAGACATGATCCCAATAAGATGGTAGAACATACAACAGCTATTGCTCGTCTAGGAAACAGAGTATATCAAGTTGCTAAGCAAGAGGCTGACAATTCTGAAGATCCTGTGTTTCATGCAACATTAAATAGAGCAGCAGATATCTTACAAGCTGCTGTGGCTAGAATGGTTCAAGATGCTAAGCCAGTAGCATTAAATACCAATAACGATCAAGCTATTAAACGTTGGAGAGAATCTAACAATGTGTTGTTGGATGCAGTGCGTGGTGTGCGTGGTGCTATCTCTGTTGTACCAGACCTGTATGAATTGTCTATTGAGCCCGAAATAGCTCCACCTCGTCCACCATTGCCTGGTGAACAAGCACCTCCACCAAGACCACCGTTACCTGCTGAAACCGATGATGAAGATGAAATGTTCAAGCATGCACCGTTACCTAATCAACCTATTATGGCTGCTGCTCATGGGCTTCATCAAGAAGTGAGACAGTGGTCAAGTAAAGATAACAAGATTATTGCTGCTGCAAAGAAAATGGCACTTTTGATGGGCAGGTTATCTCAATTGGTTCGTGGACAAACTGGTACCAAACGTGATCTTATTGCTTGTGCTAAAGCAATTGCCGAAGCTTCTGAGGAAGTGACACGTTTAGCTAAAGAATTGGCTAGAGAGTGTACTGATAAAAGAATGAGAACTGTAAGTTTTTTTAAAATAATAACAAAATATTAAATACTTTCTAATTATTATTCTAAGTTATAATTATAATAAATTTAATTTTCAGAACTTGCTGCAAGTGTGTGAACGTATACCAACCATTGGTACTCAATTAAAGATCTTATCCACAGTCAAAGCAACTATGTTGGGAGCTCATGGTTCAGAAGAAGATCAAGAAGCTACTGACATGTTGGTGGGTAATGCTCAAAACTTGATGCAGTCTGTTAAAGAAACCGTACGAGCAGCCGAAGCGGCTTCAATTAAAATAAGAACTGACACTGGTATACGGTTATGTTGGGTCAGACGTCAACCATGGTATCATTATTAATAACTTCCGCGTGCCTTCAATACCATGGCCATAATTAGGTGTTCAATATTATTTAAGTATTTATAAGCTATAACAAAGTAATTAGTATAAATCACTTTGGGCACAATGTATGATAGGTTGTAGTCTCTGGCTCATTGGCAGTACTATAATTCATTTACATTAAAAAAAGTCTTTGAATTTGTGGTTTAGAAGTAAATAAATAAAATAAATAATACAAATTTGGAAAATTTATTTTCTATGTTTTGGCAATTAAATCATTCCAATGGGTCGACATGTGCCTTATATTTATATTGATTTGCGGTGCTTAGAGTTGTATTTAATATTAAACACACTTATTTGGTTTAAGAGTGTTAAATCAAATTTAAACAATAATTAATAATCGAGCTTTAACTTTTATTGTTGAGTTACATATATACATATAGACGCTTTAATTATCAAATGAGACAATTTCACAACGAATTAATATTTTTTTAATTATATATATTGTTATTTTAAATGCCTCTAGATAATTTTATATAGAGTAATTTAAAGAGGCTTTTATAAATTTGTTACTCTGTATTGATGATATGCATAAAAAAAAATCAAAGATTGTTAGAAAAGTATATTTCATAAAACATATTTTAGAATATTTATTTATTATATTGTTATTTGTTTTTTATTATGAATTGATGTTTGTAATTGCAACAATGCTCTTTTAGATGTTCTGTTGTAAAGGTATTCAGTGCTTCCATTTTGTTGTATCAGATTTTTACTTTAAAATGTTTGTAACAAAACAATTTTATTAAGTTGATACAATAGTTGTTATTTTAATTTACAAAAACTACCGAGCCACTTACATGTTAAGATTTGTATTTTTAATAATTGTTAATAATAACGTACTGTGTTCTAATTGTATTATTTTTATTCGTATAATAGTGTATTAAATATGTATGATCTTTTTTTTTAAATTTATAAATACACATATTATATCAATGGTATTACAAAATAATAACATTCACATTCATAATTTAAGACTTAAGAACATTTGTTTAAGACAGTAAAAAATATTGATGTTGAACAAAAACTTGTGTGGCTCGGAATGTAAAATTTTTAGTGCCATTTCATAGCCATCACAATCATGTTTTCCATTAATTATTTTTCTATTTTAAGTTAATATTAACTGTTATATTGCTTGATATAGTATGTATATTTTTTTAAAAAAAATCACTATTTGAAAATAGAAAATATTTTATTATGTTGTTGTGTACAATACGAGTTATGTTTTGGATATAATGTATTGCGGAATATGAAAACAAAATCACCATCATACACAATTAGTAAAATATCTGATGTTATTTATTTTTTTCTTGTATACTCTTATCACATATTAGTTTTTTTAAATATTATTAATTGTAATTTAATATTGTATTTATTTGTATTTAACTTCTTTCTTGAGTTTCATTATTTTATTTTTTATTTATTTTTATACAACATTGTCTTTTATTAAAAACTTGACTAACATAAAAAAAAAACAAATATATATATATTTTGCTGTAACCTGGTTTTTTTAACCTGGCTAGCGCTAAATTCTTAAAAAGAATCAATTTTAACTTGCCGTTAATAAACAATGTTGTATTCAGTTCCTAACTTTCTAGTTTTTCAACGCGTTAACTAAAATTATTGTATTAGCATATTTACCCTTTTTTTTTTTGGTATAATTTATTTTACTCATAAGCGACTCATACACAAAATATTGTATTAATATAGTTGGTGCTAATAAATTATTACCATTATTCAGGATGCATTTTATCGTATTAATGTTAATATTTTTAATATTTGTAACCTATATCTACCTGTTACCTGGTTAACCTGTATTTTGCTAATTCCTTTATGTTTTTAATCGTCTAGTCATGGTAAGAAAAAGTTATATTTTGTAAAAGATTATGATCAAATATTAATGTTTAAGGAATGTAATTATTAGAATTTTAGATTTTTCAGAAATTGAAATGTATTTTCAACAAAGCAGTACACAAAACATAACAATCTTCAGCAATCAGATCTATACAAGATGATTCTTTTATCGAACAACATTCATTATTTAAAAATTTATTAATGCTTTTAAAAATAGTTTTTTTTTACATAACTTCCAGTGAAATCAAAACAAATATTACATTTTCTTAGCATTTTATTTTTTTGAATAATAACACCTATAATTTTTATTTCATACAAAAAAATTAGAATTCGGACAAGTAGTTAATGAGTTACAAGTATTTAAAAGTTATCGTAACTGGAGTGATGAAGTACGGGATATCCCGTAAAATGTTAATCTAATACTACGATTACTTAAACTTTGAATATTTATTAATTATTACTTATAAACAATTAATTCGATTTTTAATTTTTTTGTAAGTACCTATTTAAATACTTCCAAAAATATTTTGCTTCAGAACATAGAACTAAAAAAGTAAAATTTAAAAAAAACTATAACGATAAAAATATTAATTTTTTTTTTAATGATAAAATTTTAAGCAAGTTAGAAGTGTGTAAAATGTAACAATTTTATAATGTTTATAATTCAAAATTTAAAATATAGAAAACTTACGTAAAAACATATAGGTAATGCTCTTATGTTAAAGTTTATATTATGAAGGTTAACAATACAAAATTGGTTCTACTAAACACAAATTTGCTATAAGTAAGTTTGTATAACGGAAATAACACATTATTGCATGTATAGCGTTCTCTTAAGTAGCTTTGTTAACCTATTACTTATTAGTTATTAGTTATTACTAATGAATATTGATAACTAATAAGCAATAAGAAGTATCCATAAGATTTTTTGAAACTTATCAAAATCGTTAATTCGTGTTTGGACGTTTGGTTGACATACGAATCCAATAAATATTTTGATAAAATGTAAAAATGTCAATATCGATTACTGATTATAATAAATCGGTCTGCAATTTGCACAACCGAAAAAAAAAATTGAAGTAATGTTTCTGATTTTTAAAATTTGGGGGGTTTATTCTCTTCTGCAGCTTTACAATATATGTAATATAATGTATATACAGACATGCAAGTCCATTACAATAGATGGGGTACACGGTTGGGATTGGTGTATCGTGTTTATATTTTAGATATATGATTTAGTTTTTGAAATGTTGGTATTTAAATCTACGAGTTAATCATTGATCTCCCAGAAATTATTATGCACGAGACATCTGTTGATCATCAATTGCGTTCTATACATTTTAGGGTCGATGGACCAATTGCGCTTAAAACATTTTAAAATATTTAATGAAAACTTATTAGTTAGTTATAATAAAATTATATGATAAATTTATATTGAATACACACATCGATTTTTTTGCGAGTTTAAATACAGAATATAAAATAAATAAATAAATATAGTCAATTATTCAAAAATTAAAGTTATATAAGTTACATAATAATTCACATTTACACTTTTTTAATATAAATAAATAAATATAGTCAATTATTCAAAATTGAAGTTATAATTTGAAGAGAACTATATCGATATTGATACAATATTTTCATATCTGAAGATAGAAAAATTTAAATACAAGCGCAATCGGTATACCGACCCTGAAATATAAGGAGCGTAATTGATACACTGACCCTAAACAAAAACTTTGTTTTAGGCGCAATTGTTCCATGCCCGATTAATATTGTGCAATATACTGCGTGTTAGTGTGTTACTTGCGCCCCAAATCGCCCGAATTGATGTTTAAATTATACGTTGTAATTTGTAATACAACAAAAAACAATTGACAAGTTTAAAAAACGCTTTAAAAAAAAAATACCATTGTCGTTCCTAATCTAGTCCTAACCCTAAGCCTGTAAGCCGGAAAAGAAATAAGTGTTTTCAAAATGTTTGACTCCTTCAAATGCCTTTTCTGAGCTCGAGTGTACTACGAATATTATCTGTTTTTACCCAAATGAAATTCGACCATAACTCGTGGAAGCGTCCGGGTGAAATTTGCCGATATATCCGTATTATTAATTTCTAAACGTCCGAATCGGTTTCTGGATTGTTACAAAAGGTATATCTAAATTGGTTTCTAAATCTTAAAAACCGTTTTAATTTTCTTCTCAAACCAATACCAATTAAATACTGTCCATACTTGGTAATTGGTATCTAGGTGTGGCTAACCATTTTAATATATTTTAATTCTAAAATTGATTTGTTGTAGGCATACTGTGGTGTGCGGTATGGTCACACTGACTATTATTATAGCAGTAATAAATTATGCATTTGGCACGTTTACGTTACAGAGTACAGAACGACAGACAGCAGTTCTTGTGTTCTTTTCAAATTTCAGTCATGTCATGTTACAAGAGTTACTTTTTGTTTTAAATGAATGTTAAATTAAAATATTAGTCGTCTATTTAATAATTATGGGCAAAAGGAAGAAGGCTACGCCGCGGCCCGCCTACATTCGTATTATACATGACGTATTATGCACTCGTGATTGTTGTTGGCACTTTGGCAGGTATGGACGTATATACCACAAGACGATTTGAACGATAACCAAATCGTTGCGTTACGTCGTGTTGCCCCTTTTTCATCACTATCAAAAAAGAAAAAGAGACAAAAAACAAATTTACTAAAGGTACGTAACCTACCTACTACAATATTATCATTACAATATCATTACGTGTACCTATAAGTAATACATGCCCCGTCAGTGCTTCGCACTGCCCACGGTTAGGCGTCTCCACCATAGGTACGCCGGTAGATAGTCGATTATTATTGTCGTACAATAACACGCGTTTGTCTGTCTCTGGCGAGTGTACGTATTACCTACATATACAGCGATGACGACAATTTATAATTGGTTTTGGCCGGCGGTAGTGGAGGTGTGAGTGAACGAGAGTCGATATTGTGGTGTCGAGACTCCGGATGGAGGTGTACAAAATATATCCGTCACTACGGTAGGTGTATAATAATAATATGTCCGTTGTCAATATTATCAAACACGCGCAGTACGGCTCGTACGTGCTATAACATAATTGGCGGGCTGTCGCGCGTACGGATATAAATTCGCAATTAATTGTCAAACAGAGACGTAGGTATACAACAACGCCGTTGCGCGTGCGGTGTGTGCAGAGCGTTGTATTTCGCGCTGACGCGCTGTTCACGGTCTACGGCGCGCGGATTGCAATTATTTATTTGAATTTCTCTCTCTGCGAAAAGAAATCCGATCGGCCGCGATAATTTATTGTTGCCCGTCGGTGTACCTACTACCTATGTAACGCGGCGCATATTATTGTGTGTACCCACACACGTAAATAGCCGACGTTGTGTTACACAATATAATATAATATATTATGTTTTGTGGCGTAGGTAGGTAA